TAAAAAGTTTTTCTTCTTTTTTTCCCACCTTAAACTCAGGCGACCTGTTAAGCAATACGATCTGCTCCCATCTACTCTGGAGGAAGATCCGCAGCACATGATTCCTCTGCCTTACATAACAACCGAACCCTGCATCCTTATGCAGTCACACCACCAATTACAACCTCCCTATCCTGTAGGAGGATCACGTCATCGCCGTGCAATTTAGTTTGAACTTGGCTGTCCAGAAGTGGTCAATATGAAGCGATAAATTAACCAATTTTAACTGCCATAACCTCTATTATCTCTGGCAAGGCTGTGCCGACTGTTTCTTAACTCATGCGGACTTCCGGCCATAGGTGGCAGTGGCATGGCTGGGATTCGAACACCCTACCACAGGGCTCACAGATAAATGTCAAAGCCACCTGGAGACCCTGATATGGAGGCCCCTTTAATTTTGAACTATTTTGCTGCCAAATTGTATGACCTTTGACCTTTTTTTAAGAAAGCGGGACCAGGGGAATGGGGGGGGGGGCATAAATGCAAGGATTCCATTATGGGGGGTCACAAGTTCAATTTCCTGTTCATGTTCCATCAGCCAGTGAAATCACTAAAACCTCCCGCCATGATGGAGTGTCAATCAAAGCCTCTTGTAGACCAAACACACATGCACACACACACGCACACACAGAAAAAAGAAGTCATTTTTGCCTGCTAGAATACAGGGGTTCTCAAACTGGGCCCTGAAGCACCCCTGTATTCTGTACCCCTGTCACATTTACTGCCAAATTTATAAGCAGTTAAGTCTGCTGGACAAAATCTTTTCGGTGCTTTCAGTATTTTTTTTCCCCCTTACACTCATGAGCATAGTTGGAGGGGGAGTTAATTTTATTGTGTTAATTTTTGCCAAATGGTTCAGTCTCGGTGGGAATTTTGAACACAACTCAATAACTAAGACCTGGCTGATTTCACCAGGCAGTTCAGTTAAATGAACAAAGCATCTCTTTGAAAGAATAATTTCTCATTTGCCAGTATTAGATATGAATATGGGACAATTAGTATTCTTGCTGATGGTGTATTATGTTTCTGACATAATGTTTGACTTAATTGGGATTGTAATTACGGATGAAATGAAAACGAGCCTGTATTCCGTAACTGAGGCAATCTAATGAGAGAGGCACAAGATGACACAGAAGACAGAAGGCGATGGAAAGGTTCTCAGCCGAGGTGGGAGATCTGTCTGTACGACCACTTGCAGCTGTGCGCCCCACAGAGCTGGGCTTTAACCCTGGAAGGCCTAATTCAAAAATCCCGGGAGAGCATCATTCGGCTGTGTTTACCTTAGTAACCTGTATTTGGGCTGAAGTGCAACTTCTCAGCTTTCTGGAACAGTGTTGGAATTTTTTTGATAACAGTAATTACAGTACTTACAACATGATGCGCGCATTTGTGTCGGCGACGACACGTTAGGATTAAAAAAGTTATGGAAGTGTGGCCAGAAAAAATTTAAAAAAAATTGAAATGGTAAAAAACAAGAACATGGTTTGAGTTCGCCAAACATATGGAAGAAGTTTCTCTGGTCAGATGAGAGTAAAATTGAATTTTTGACCATCATTGAAATTTCTGTGGCAGAGACCCTGAACTTCTCATCACTCCAGTAGCACCATCCCCTCGGTGAAGCACCGCGGTGGCAGCAGCATCGTGCAGTGGGGACGCGTTTCATCAGCAGGGACTGGGGTCAAGATTGCAGGGAAGATGGGTGGCGCTAAATGCAGGGAAATTCTTGAGGAAAACCTGTTCCAGTCAGCCAGAGATTTGAGACAGGGAAGACGGTCCACTTTCCAGCAGGACAATGACCCAAATGCACTGCTAAAGCTACACTGGTGTGGTTTAATGTCTTGAATGAGCTTGAATACTGCCTGCCAGGTGATAATTGAGAGAAGGAAAAGGTGTGGAGGAATGTAGTGAATAGGGAGAAGGCTGGAGGCAAAGCCTCACAACTCTACACAGGAGGTTCAAGTAAACCTGAAACTCAACTGGTCTGCCATCCCTTTGCGAGTGGGTCACAGGTCTGAAATTAAAAACAGAAGTAGTTTATGTCCTCAAGATGCTGTTAACTCAGTTTCAGGAAATTTGAGTTATATTAGTGACTGCTAGAGAATACAAGTTGTTCAAATACGTGTCTACAGGTGAATGAATATCAAATGTCACACAACAGCCGTTTTCCAGAAGTCACAAAAAGCCGTCTTTTATATGTTGAGACATGTTATGAACTGCTTACCTTCCAAATTTTAGCTCTTTATCTACAGAAAGGTCTAAGATGGCCAACTACAGATTATCAATATAACCACCTTGCCATGCCCACTTTTGGGGTTGGGGAGCTGAAATCCAATCCCCAAGTAGTTTATGTGCTAAAAATGCTGCATAAAAAGTCTATACAGGGAATGTGGCAGCTAAACCCATCCAACAATGCTGGAATACAGAAGTTTTGCCCATTAATACACTTTCTTTATTCTTTTCATTGTGCTTGTTTTGATAGGAGAACATTGATGATGAACAGATCGGCTCTAATTTTCCAGTCCCTCATTCCTGCTAGGCTGTAGGAGCTCTCTTTAGCATGGTAAAAACACAGTGTTCAGGTTCTCTCTCTCTCTGTCTTTCTTTCTTTCTGTCTGTCTTTCTCTCTCTCTCTCGCACACACAGACACACACAGAGACGTTCACAAAGGGATCAATTTCAAAGACGCATTAAATCTTCATAAGCAATAACAGCGAGCACTCATAGTTCTGAAAAAAGTATCATAACCTCATATTTAATCATAACGGCGATGAGACTTCCTCTTATTTACCCCCAACAGGTCTTCAGAGTGACAAGAGACTGCAATTAATTCAGCTCAAAAATGACATCAGGAAAAAAATTAGTTTCCAATGACTCGAGAAGCCTTTGAAATGTAAATGTTGTGTACTGGAAAAAAAACCCCCCCCCCACCAGGTTAGCTCTAGAGAAAGAAAAGAATGTGTACTTGTGCGCGCACACACACACACACACACACACGTTTGTTTTCATGTTTTGTGGGGACATTCCATAGACTTCTGTTCATTCCTTAACCCCTTTCCCTGACCTTAACCCTCAACAGTACATACCTAACCCTAATCCTAACCCCAACCTTAACCTAACCTTAACCTTAACCCCTAACCCTAAAGTAACTTAATTTTTTTTGGAGGGGGGGGACCTGAAATCTGGAATTCCATGTCATGTGGGGACATTCGGCCCCCTCAAGGGAAGGTAGTCATGGTACACACACACGCACGCACGCACGCATGCGCACACGCAGAGCTGGCTTGTTCATCCTAGTTCTACCACTGTCTCACCACCAGATGACACTCTGTTGCTTTATCACAGGACGGAAAAATACAAGGTTTGGCTGGGGGGGGGGGTGGTTCATGCCACTGCAATTGTTATGATACATTTTGCACCATTTGTCCAACAAACCTAGCCAATAATTTAAAAAAAAAAATTTAGATCAGCCATGTGGGTGAGAATTTCATTCAATGGCCACCTGACACAATAGTCACTCATTTACTTAGGGATGACATGATCAGTGTAAATAATTTAAGTTATTAATATATCACTGTGGCTCCACCCAGCACCCTAAATCACAGTTACCTCACTAGTTCACAAAGCATGATTGGTCAGCACCATTTAATTACAATGATTGACATATCTGATCACTACAGACACTGATTCCATTCCTCCAGAGTTGACTGCCTTTCCTTGCTAAAAACAGGCAATAAAGGGGCTAATTGCCGCATCTCCTTCATGATATAGACAAATCGACACTTTCTGTCCTGGCTACCAGCCAAAACACAGTATGTCTAGTTCTTGTCCATTATCAGGGATAGTTCCTCGCTCTTCAGAGAATTCGGATACACCCCTGGGCCCTGTTTCACCAAGCATAACTCCTGAGGCAGCGTGAAAACTGCACTGAGCAATATCTGGAATGCTCTCCAAGAGCTTCTCCCAGTTTGACGCAGCCCACTTATCCCTGGAGTCCATAATCCTGATGCATGCAGCCCACTCCGGCAGCCTCTGTCATGACCGTCAGAGTGGGCATGGCTACAGAGGATCAGGTTCCCCTCTTCATACCTAATCCTGCCTATTGTGAGCTAAAAGCTAATGGCTTTATTAACAGGAGCTTTGGGCTGCACGAAACTCCCCCAGGTGTCCTCTTTCATTCACCAGACCGACAGAGCATGAAAGGTGGGAGAAATATGTCAGAAGCAGGACCTAATCGATCAGCGCTCGCTACAGAGAAATGGCGATAGAACACATTGTCAACACGTAATATAAGCAAGGAGGAGAAATCACCACTTCAGAGAATTTGGAGAACAATCTCCAACACAGCCTTTTCATATGACATCACTTCCCCAAAGGCATGATCTGCAACCCCTCTTGTATATCCTTACTGACAACACGGCGAAGACATCAATAGAGTTTGGTATTAATGGACATACTGCATTGCAGGGTAGCAGTGGTACTTCCACATCCTAAGGACATTTCTCAGTCCCTCTTTAAAACCATTGATGAAGCTTTTAATTTGTTTAATAGCATTCTTAATACTGTGTTCAGCTCTAGAGTTTTTTTTTTTTAGAGCGAGAGAGAGAAACATGTGCCCCTGGAAGAAAGTTCTGGAGTCCCCAGCGTCCAACGGGCTGGATATTGATCCGTGCAATTCCGTGACATCCTCTCAGCGTAAAGAGCTCATTGTGCACCCATTAAACAGCTCGATTGTTTGTAATACTTTACCCAGTAATCTTAAGAAAAACCAGCACTTAGCAAGATTGACCCATGGAAAAAAATAAGCATTTTGTGGAGCTGGATAAGCTCATCATGCATGGAAATCCTCTTTCATTGTTTGCTCTCTTCTGCCTCTTGTGGGAGAGAAATCCTGTTGTTTAGACATAAGGTCACGCGGCATTTAAAAGCTGAAAAACTGAATGAGAGCGAGGACTGTTAGATAATGGATGGTGGCACAGCGGTTAGCATTCTTGCCTCTCAATAAGGAGGTTTCAGGTTTGAGTCCTGACCAGCCAGGACCTCTCTGCATGGAGTTTGTATGTTGTCCCCATGGACACGTATGTTTTCTCCAGATACTCCGGTTTCAACCACCTTCAAAGACATGCTCTATTGGACCACTCGTACCAATGCCCCTGACCAAGGCTCTTGCTTTGGAACTGAAGTTGGTCCTTGAGTGCTGTAACTATGATGAGTCAAATGCAGTGAACAAATTACCCCATGGGGCTCAATAAAGTATATCTAATTGTTATCGTTAGGTTTCAAACCCGGGTCATTCCTGCGCTGAACACGACCAACAGACCCACGACTAGACAATGCAAACTTGGAGCTTGTGTTTTGACTTGAGATGGGAATTCCTCAGTGAATCTGGATGATAGATTCCTATACGAAGGCCAGCGCCCCCTGGTGGTCCATCAAACACCTGCTGTCCAGCTGTTGTTCCTGCTAACTCAACGTCTTTGTGAGTCCAACCTGACCTGTGGTGGGCCAAGACACAGGGGGGATACTATGTGCTGGCGTGTAGTTTGCATATTTTATCCCTGTTTTTGAGCAAGACAGGAAGGATGCAGAAATGAGTAGTGGTTTTTAGAGTGGGAGAGCATTTCAAGGGGGATAAATTCGAGTTTTTGTTTTCCGTTAGGGGTAATGATGTTTTCTTAGGGGGAGCAGTTATGTTGGGATAGATGATGACCAGACACAAACCACACAAACCATTGAATCATTGAGTCTCCAAAGGGCCCAACGCCAATGAATCAGAGGTCTGCATATCTGATCACAAAAAGGGGAACATTCTTGTAATTTCAGTCAAAAGTGTATGAAACTCTCTTGTTAAGAAATAAACTAAAAATGTATGGGTCATTACATATGGGCAAAAAAAAAAAAAAATCAGTTATTCCCTTTCTTAAAAAGAATGTTCCTTGGAGTTTGGCCCTTGGAAACTCAAGGACTCAGTTACACATTTGCTGAATACCCTATTGAATTATATTCTATTCCTGCAAAAGCGGTTTATCTTTAACCCTTGCTTGGATTTAATATTTGAAGATAAAACGCTAACGGCGTAAGTCACTTTGAATACAAGCATTTGCTAAATGGCTCTGTGTAAAAGTAGAAATTTCCCTTCCAGCTGCCTTCACCAAGGCCCACATTGGCTTAGCTTTAGTCACACTAAAGAGGTTTGTATACTTACTTGATCGCTCGCAGCGTTAGCTGTCCACCTGTCTGAGCCGGTTCCGTTGGCGCCGAGCTCCATCTTGGGTAGCAGTTTAGCCGCGCTCAGCCTATGTATGAAGATTGATAACGGTCCAGAATGGGCTCGCGACTTTATTAAAACGACTCCAACTACCCGTCTGAGGGAGACGATAAGGACGCTACAGAAGAGGGTTCTTGGCTGTGTCAGATTCCTGTTTGCCTTGCCAGGATTAAGGCGGTGCAAACAATGCTCTCTGGATTCGCATTAAGGTTTCTTTCACCGTGGAAGTGACAGAAAGCCGCTGGCGGATCATCCTTGCCTATAAAGGATTAATAATTCACACTCTTGCCTTCTTTTTACTCGCTCACTTTTCTACCCACCTTATTTACCGACCAATAAACAAACCTACCAACCAACTGCAGGTATACTGCTGTGAAAAAGTATTTGACCTCTTCTTGATTTCTTCTATTTTTGCCACACTCAAGTGTTTCAGATTGTCAAACTAATTTTAATATTAGACAAAGACAACCGGAGTAAACACAAAATGCAGTTTTTACTGATGATTTTATTGATGGAAAAAAACTATTCAACCCTACCTAGCCCAGTGCAAAAAACCAAGTGCCCCCCTTAATTATTACAAGCAGATTCAATTAATAATTGGGGTTAAATTCATGAGACACACCCTGGTATGATTTCTGCCTGCTCTGTTGAATCTAAACGTCACTAAAGCTGCTTTCACACCGGACGCAAAACAAATTTTTCGCATCTTTTTCGTGGCTTTACATAGAACCTGTCTGGCAGTGTGAAGAGGGGAAACCACACCACACAGTGCTGTGATCTTAGGAAATTTAAGAACAGATGAGATACAAAGTCGGAAAAATAAAGCCGCTGGCATCCATCAGTCTGGAATGGGTTACAAAGCCATTTGTACGGCTCTGGGACTCCAGAGAACCAAGGTAAGCACCATTGTATATTTCATTTAATGTAACCCTTATTTAACCAGGGAAGTCCCGTTGAGATTGAAATCTCTTTTCAAGGGAGCCCTGGGGGTTGAGGTGGGGAGGGAGAGGGCAATTTGCACAGCCAATTAAATCGGGGGATTAGGTGGCAGGTGGAAAAAGCCAGGTTAGGACTTCAGCCATGACACCGGGGAACCTCCTACTCTTATCAATGAGTGTCATAGGATCTTTAAAGACCACAGTGAGTCAGGACCTTGGTGTAACGTCTCATCCGAAAGACGGCATCTCCCTCAGTACAGTGTCCCCGTCACTGCACTGGGGCTTATTCCACCAGAGGGAAGATCGTAACCTACTGGCCAACCGACTACGAACACCTCTTCCAGCAGCAACTTGGTTTTCCTAGGTGGTCTCCCATCCAAGTACTGACCAAGCCCACACCTGCTTAGCTTCAGCCACACAGCTGGAGCAGATGGAATAGTAGTATGGCTGCTGGCTGGCTGCATGGTTACCGTATAGACATTGAGAGATCTTGAAACAGTACTGAACTTTCCCAGCAGTGGCAGAACACCTAAAAATCCTCTAAGAGCGCATTGACGACTCATCCAACAAGTCACAAAAGAACCCAGACTACAATCTAAGGAACTGCAGGCCTCACTTGCGCGACTTAAGGTCAGTATTCACGATTCCACAATAAGAAACAAGAAAAATGGGATCCATGGGTGAGTTGCAAGCTGAAAACCATAGCTGACCAAAAAGAACACAAAGGCTCATCCCACGTTTGCTAAAAAACATCCTGATGGCTCAAAAGTAGCCTAGCACTTTTTGAAAGACATGGATCTGGTAACATTTGTTAGAAAGCTAACACGGCATTCTACAATTAAAACATCATGTCAACAGGCAAACAAGGTGGCACTAGTGTGATGGTCTGGGGCTGCTTTGCTATTTCAGGACATGTGCGACTTGCCACAATTGATGAAACGATGAATTTTGGTCTCTACCAGAAAATCCTGAAGGGCAATATCGGCCAGCCACTCTGCTTCGCGTCCAGGTCCACCATCGCCATGTTGGGGTTTGTTTCACAATAACAATCGGCTGACTTTGCATTATTCCTTACCAACATTTGCCTTACACAATGCAGTGTTGCCATTTCCACAGACAATACTATTCAAGATTATATATATCGTTGGCCTGCTGATAAAACCTTGTATCAGCAATTTGATAAGAAACAAAAACTCGTATGTCCACGACATTGCAAAATACAAAATTTTATTGATTGGATACATTCTTGGAAGAAAAATAGTCATCCTACCCAAACACAGCTCCACTGCATTCTTACATGCAAAATTAAAAATTTTTTATGCTCTCCTGTAAAGTTTCTCATTTTGAAGATACGAGATTTTATAAGCAGGCGGACGATATGTTATGTGCAGGAATAGACGGAGACCCCAAACACAGAGTAGCAGGGAAAACGACTTATTTGACATTGCACAAAGTAAACAATAAGCACATAAGCACAAAGAACAATGGCAATGAGTATTACAAAATGGAAAAGCTTACTCACTCCTGAAAGGGAGAAATTTAGCCAATTCCGAAAGGAGACGCGGATACGCAAGCTCCAAAATAGAGATACATTTAGAAAGGTAAATTTAGAAAGGCAAATTAAAAAAATCCCCCCAATAAAAAAATTATAATAAAAAAAGAAAGGCAAATAAATGAAAGCTCGCAATAAAGAGAGAATTTAGTTTCCGAAAGGGAGACAACCGAACCAGCACAGAGAAAGGGAAGTGAATGCTCTGACCGACAAAGGAAACCTAAACAAGGCAGGAACTAAATAGTGAGGTAAGGTGAGAGCTGAACCAATGAAAGGACCGGATAATATAATAATTGGTGTGAGTGGTGGGAAGCTATGCTGCCAGGCAGGACTAACGAGCTTCAGCTGGCGCTCGTCACAATATATTCAATATTATTCAATACAATATTACGACTGTGAGTCAAAATACAGCATGAGGGTATTACGCAGCTGAGACATTTAGCTCTTTCTTGCTTGTTGTCAGCAAAGGTGCAAACCTCTAATTCGGCTTATGTCAATAATGAATATTTAGCCTGATACAGATGTTCTATAAATAAGCGCACGGCTTATTTTCAAGCATAGAAGACAGGAGACACTGGCAGAGTTGACTTCAATCATCCATTTTAATGCCATTAAGAGAGTACTGTCCATCACTGATAAAACCCAGCGACGTGGAAATGGGAACCTACTCGTAAGGCAAATGCTACATGCGGATTAGACCTATTTTTACCGCGACTCGATGCGGCCCAGGTGTCATGCGCGTCTTTGAAGGTTAAATAAATCGGAACCGACAGGCCTCGGAAACATTGTCCCTTGACGACACCGCTGACATTTCACAAGGTCTCGCTGACTGCCAGTAATGACACAGACGACATCCCATGCGTTTTTGCATGCAGGAAAATTGCCCAGCATTCTCAGGCTACAGTACAGCAATATTCTAATGGTGAAATGCCGAGAAAGCTGCTCCAACAGACATTTTTGTCTGTGCATTCATCCACTGACAAGAATGTCCACATTTCTTCATCCACAATCACTTTTAAGATGTAAGGTCACAAGATTAAATTGCTGTCAAACAAGTATTTTATTTCTAATTTTACAATCAAAGATTTGAAAACCCCCTTCCTCTCTTAGCGTGACCTTTGACACGTATTTGTGGCTTCTGTGCAATAAGTTGTTGAGGCCCTGGCCAGTAGCTAAAAGCCAACATTGATTTTGGGGAACGTTTACTCAATTCACAATGGCCTTACCAGTTTCTGGGAATATACAGACTACCTTTTTGACAAGAGCTTGGGTTAGTCTG